AGGACGGGGGAGGTAGGGGGCAAAATAAAAGAAGGGGGCATTACCGCGTCCCTCAAGGCCCCAAGGGCCGGGCCGAGGAGGCCACCGGTCGGGGCCGTCGCGCGGGGGCCTCGACTGCAGGTGGAGGTCGATCACACGACGACAATCACCGCTGCTGCTCCTGCCGCCGACACCCGCGCACGGCCAAACGGCAGAGAGGCTTTCGGTGCTGCTGCTACCGTTTTTGTTTTTCAAAAAAATAATTGCAGCGCAACACCGATTATTTTAGTTACCCGAGGCGCCGCCGCGCCGAGTGCAGTGAGGACGCTCATAATATGCTGTTCTGGCCTTATTATTGCCGTGTCGTGGGCCCTTTCCTTTATTATGCACACACACTCACGTGATCGGCCCTCTCTCTCTTTCTCTCCCCGGAGTGTGTATAGCATAATGAAGGGCAAAAGAGGAGGAGAGGGAAGGGCGGGGCTCGTGTGCAATCCGTCATTATTTATCAGGCTCTCGCTTCCAGGAAGGGATGCGCGGCGGAGGCGGCGGCGGCGGCAGCGGCGCCCTCATCTGTCGCGGGACGGTGTGCTCGGTGTGCTGCGCGCATCTGCCGCCGCCGAATGTACCGGAGCGTATAGAGTGCGTTTTGCGGTCTGCCCTGTCCCGGGGTCGGCCCGTCCGGCAGAAAGAGAGAGAGGGTCCCAAAGCCGAACGCCATCGCTGCCACCGCCACCGCCACGCCAACACCACCACCACCGCCACCACCACCACCACCTTGGCCGCCCAGCGAAAGGGAGGGGGGAAGAAGAAGGAATCGGCGGGGGCGGGGAGAGGGGCGGTCAGGTGGCGGCGGCGGCGGCGTTGGCGGCGGCGCTGCATGTCCATCGCTTGTTGTCATCATCTTATTCGCAAGTCGTCCGGCCGGAGCGCGCGCGCGCCACAACAGAACGCGGCCGGGCAGCAGCATTATTGTGTGTGTCGTTATTTGCCGCCAGAGCTTCGTGTGCTCCGCGAGTGTCGCCGCCGCCGCCGTGAAGAAGGGAGTGCCAACCTGCGCAGTATCGCGAATATATTGTTGCCGTCAGCTGTGCCAACCTGCGTAACGCCCCGCTGCTTTCTGCAGACCTCTCCGCAGCAGGATTCGTTCGTCGTCAGCCGATGGACCGGTGAGTGGACTTAATACTTGATTTTATTTTTGTACGCAGGTTATTCTGTTAGGATTTAGTTTTTAGCAGCAGCCTCGGGCCGCGGCCACAATGTTGTCACGGACCGCATTTCATTCATCGGTGTTTGTGTTTCATTCTCTTACTCGCTCAATGTGTGATTTGCGTGTTTCGAACGGTACTATAAGCATGCGACGACGAGAAGGTGTATAGTATTATGTCATGCATCACTTTTGGACGTGGTCGTTGATTGGTTTGTTTCCAAACCTAAAACATTCATGGGGATTAAATCGTCGTCGACGCGGCATAACGAAATCATTTTTGGTTTTGGTTGTTGCACAATCTGCATGCGCCAGTGGGGGGCCCTCGCGCTTGGTGCAGCGACGAGGCAATGCACCCGCGGCCGGGCCGGGCCGCGCCGCTCCTTATCGACATAACTAAGCGGCGAAACGATATGGCCGAGCGGCCGGCGTCCTTCGCTAGAGCGTTGCCATTAGTTTTTGGTGCCGCTGCTGTTGACTGCTGCTGCCCCGCGTCGCGGTCGGTCGGAACACTGCCCCCAAAAAATGCGACGGGCGCAGTGGACGGACGCTCTGATGAGAAGGACCCACATAGCCCACTTGAGTCGGCTATATTTGCGACTTCAAATAAACTGCTCTTAATGATTTCATAATCGATATGTTACATTTCGAAGTACCTATAGTGCGCCAGCGCAGGTTCGTGGACGGGGGTAGAATACTCTAACGCACACGGAATTGTTTGCATTGCATAGCGATGATTGTTTGTAAGGCCAGGAAGGCTTTTACGAACAATCGAACTATTTGTTTGAAAGCTTACGAAGAATTAGTTCGTAATTCAACGCTTAAAAATCCTCTCGTAAAGCTACGAAGGTTTTCGGTTTGCATTACGAACCTGTTGTTCATAAGCAATTTACAGTGCGGGGCGGGGCAGCGTGAAACCTTCATGGAAGGGCCGAAAGAGCCGCCGCGGCCACGGTGACGCCCGCAAGTTCGGCGCCGCGTTCACGGAACGGCTTTGCACGCAGTATCGATTCGACTGTCCGCGCGGTTTGGCGGCTCGCGCGCGCCCGGCCCCGAGCCCGCTGTCGCATACCCATACCATACCAGGTGGCTGATTCACGCCGCGCAGTTCTGTAAGTATACTGTACCGCATGCACGAGTGCGGGCGGGATGCCTACTCGCGCGGCTTGTAAGGCGCCGTGGACACGGGCGATAGGCAAGCCCGCCCGCACTCGTGCGTGCGGTACAGTATACTTACAGAACTGCGCGGCGTGAATCAGCCACCTGGTACAATGTAAATCAGCTCCATAGGATTTATACGCCCCACAAACGACGGGACGGAAGTTTCGTAATGCCCCGCTGTTCGCGCAAAATGTTGTTAGGAGAGCTGTGCAAATTTCTAGGGGTGAATAATTGCGCGTTTTGCGTCAGCACAATATTATTACATTTTTGCACAGCCGCGGCGGCACTGTGGTGTCGTGACTGGCGACCTGCGCCCTCCCCCCTGCGGTCTGCTGGGACCCGCGCCGGCGGGGCGGGCGGCGGATCGCCTAAAAATTAGCGCTGGCGTGCAGAGCGCGCCGGCGTCCACCCCGGCGTCCACCCCGCGGCGCCACGCCACCGCGAGCCCTTCTGATGCATATCGCACCGTGCCGAACCGAACCGACCCCCAAAAACAAAAAAAGAAAGAAGTAAATACAAAAAAGAAGGGGGGGGGAGGTAAAAGGGAAGAACGACACGGAGGAGGAAAACCAGCAAGGTGTATGTACACGCGTGTGCGCTAGTTGGGTCGCTGAATAGTTACACGCTAAATGTATATGTAGGTTTTTGTGCAAACGTTAGCACAAAGTTGCGCACACATTACGATTCGCACGAATTTGAGGGAAAATATGCACGAATTTGTGCACACGTATATGCACAAAACATGCACTTTTTCGCACAAATTCGTTCAAATGAAACGCATGCACAACTTTTGTACGAATAAAACCTACAAGTCTGTTAGTGTGTATCTTACCGTGCGAATAATAGCACACCGGCTCCACTTTAAAATATTTCACCTGCGAATAAGCGGTTTGCTGTATCCAAACACGCTGCCAGGCCTTATTGATGGGCGCGCCGACAGCAAAGGGCGAGCCGTGTTTTGGGGAGACAAATACGGACCGGGCGGGGCGCTATAGGAGCAACAAAGTGCTGACTTATTCACGTAGGCGCCCCTTAGAGGGTGAATATCGTCGCAAATTACTCGTCATCAGTGTGGATAGGGCCGCGCGGCCGATGACGACCACTGCATCATGGATGATAAAACGTCCTCCCCTCTCCCGCGGAGCCCCGCTTTTCTTCCCTATATAAACTCTACTTTTCCGACGACACGACGAAAATTGTCGAATGGAATGCACTTTGGGTCGTGTGCGGCGCGGCGCGCCCGCCGGCCATCCATTCTGCATGTCGCCACGACGAGGGGCGTTGTTGAGGGGGGGGGGAGGGGGGGGAGGGCTTCCCACCGGAGGGCGACGCGGAGCGACACCAGAAGCACTAAAGGCAATGAAATTTTCAGAAAGTGACGGAATATTAGAGGAAAGTGAAGGGGGGAGGGGGGGGGGTATAATTACCAGCGTGTCATGCAAGTTTAGGCCAACGCAACAATGAGGGGGGTCAGTGTCTGGACGGGTATGGGATGGGGAGCGCATCGTGCACGTGCACTAGTGGTCGTCTCTTCGCTAGACCTGTTCCGAAAAAAAAAAACACTCCATACCCTCTATTAGTACCATAATTTCGTCAAAATTATCATAGATTTTAGTACAGAATAGACTGGCGAACCTGACGGTCAATTAATGCGCGCATGCCGTTTTGGCAAACTTTTGCGACTGTCAAGTCAAAAGTGCAAGATAATGACAAATTGTTGCGGGATAGATTGCAAAATAAGTGAAGTCGTCGGTGGTGTGCGCGTGCGGCAGCTGGCCGTGCCGCCGTAGTACACGCTTCTTCACACCTGGACACCCGCGCCGCCACGCCACGCCGCGCCACCCCCCGGGCTCTCTGCACCGCGTGTTCGCGAATTAACTCGCGTGCCGGAAGGAATCAACACGTGGCGAATCATTAGCACGCGTGTGAGCACTGGGGGGAGATAGACATCGCCAAGACATATAACGCATAGTAATCACGTGTTTTAGCAGTTTGTAGACAAGTGGAAATTTGCACGCGAGTTTGCGTTTTCCGTTTTTATTTTTATTCGTTGTCTAGCATGTTTGCTAGTATGTAGTCTGTCGCGCGTGAAAGTTAGTGTGAGGGGAAGCAGCGGCAGCAGTAGGAGGGGTCGCGGTCGCGGGGCAGCGGCAGCGGCGGGGTTTTTGAGCGTCCGCGTGCAAGTGAACATCAATGCGCGCGCGGCGGCGGCGTGTCGCATTTTCAGGGCAATTGCAGGTGATTCCGTGATTGCGACGCCGAGCTATACG